CCTGCCCTCTGCCTTCTTGAGGCTCGCCAAGCTCGCCCCGCCCTGCTCACGGCCATTAAGTCGTTTTAAGTAAATGCCGATCACCATGACCGTCCCCTCCTCTCTCCAAATTAAATCCGAGCACAAAGCATCTTCATTCAATTCCTTCCAGCCAGGAGTGCCTTAGGTTCCTAGCTTGCTCAGGAACGAGATCGTAGTGGAAATCGTCCACCAGAGAGCGTACACGAAGCATCGCCGTCGCCGTTGGCCACCATGGGCGTCGCGCGGAGCTCGGCCATGAACCCTCCTATCTCTTCCCTTTTTCTTTGATCTTCTCGATGTTATTGCTCCGAGTTGATGCCTTGGCCTCATCTACGTAACAGGTTCACCGGAGATGCGTTGGATCGCCGGGAACGCAGTCTCCGCCGCCACGGACATGATTATCCGCTGCACACGTGACCAACCTCCTCCACGGCTTCGCCACACCAACCAACCGTTGCAGCCAGATCTAGGTGATGTCCTGGTACCTTCGCTACCCTCCGCTCTTCCGAGTTCGTAGCCAGTTCGCCGGAACGCCGCCGCCACGACGGTGAACTGGGCCGTCATGGTCGCTAACCATGGCCGGCACTGTCCCAACCTTCTCCGACCCAACCGATCGTCACGACCGACCCTAGCTAACTTCTGCTTCATTCCCTGCCCCTCCATTCACCCGGTGTTGCCGCACCCATGCCGGAGCGCGTGCGCCACCGCCGGTGAACCGCGCCGAGGCGGGCAGTCGCGCCCAGCCACCGTCGGGTGCCCCGACCCCCCCGGGTCGCTCTCCATGGTCACGTTGTCTCCGCACGGGGGGCCCGCGTCGCCGGCGAGCCCTCCCAGCCGAATCCAGTGCCGGCCGGCCAAGACTTGCTGCGCTACTCTGCTCTGGATTCCCAGAGACTTGCAAAAACAAGAATTGAGACATATAGGGTGCTAGGTGAAGAACAGATGCTAGGTGAAGAACAGATGACTCATTTGAATAGTGAGCTAGATCGTAGGTTTATTAGTTAAAAACCTGGGGCCCTTTTTGCAAAATGGACAACAGCATACTGGCTTTCCCACTGGGCCGACACAGTGTTGCCGCTTGGGCCATCAAGGCGCTATTTGGCGTGGGCATTGGGCGGGGCCGCCCGCATGCCTTTTTTCTTTTTCAGGATTTTGTCCTTTTTGTTAAAATGGCTGACATTTGTAAAATTCATAATAAATCAAATAAAAATCGTAAAATGACAAATCCAATTTTGTTGAACTCTACACAGATTGTACTACACAGTGAACACATAAAATCATATGCTTTAGTGCAAAATAATTATCTTAAAAATTACTCTAGGGTTTGTTGTAATTAATTAAAATAGTTCTTATGCTCCAAATGCTATGAAATTTTTACAGGAGCATAACTTTGCTTTGTTTGTACTCTAGTAAAAATTTATGTTCATTAGGTACTGGATGACTGGAGTATTAATTTAGCTTGTAAATACTAGTTTAATGCTTGAAATAAAATTAAAAGAAAATAGAAATATAAAATGTATGTCCTTAGAATATTATTACTACAATAGTACTTTAGGACACTTGTTAACACCTTGAAATTGTATAACTAAAACACTTGTTGGGAAATGACACCTTTCTCGACGATGTTGATACGTAGATTAGTACGTTAGTCATTAGAGCTAGCATATTAGTTCGTAGTATGTACTCTGTTTTAAGAGTTGTTGTTGCCTGGTTAATTAATTGTTGCATCATCTCTGCGTCGCATTGCATATCATAATATGAACGATGGTGGATCGATGGTATCAAACGGAGTAACTGAAAAGATGGTGCTAGGGATCAGGACACAAAGATGGAATACTAACTTTTGGTTATATTTTACCCAGGCAAGCACTGGTACATAACCCCTACTTTTCTGCACTTTATATTATGTTTGTGCATTAAGTTTAAGGAATTGAATGAAACCCACTTACATACATACATACATACATATATATATATAACCTATGAGTGTTACTAGTATAACAGGATCGTGTAGATTGCTATGCTACAGGACTCCGGTAGAAGTCGAATGATTGTCTGTCACTCGCGAGAGATAGGAAATATATTATTGTTGTTACTATATTATTATCACCAGAAATATATATATATATATATATATATATATATGAATGATAATTGGAGACCGGATGGAATGGTACTTTGGATTTGGACTTGGTTGAGCATTCGAGCGAGGCTCGGATTGCATTTGTTCAGCCTGTGTCGGTTAAGGACCGGCCATTGCATTGGGTTCTAGGCAAGTCACAGACTTATTATCCCGAGCACATACTTGTGTATGGACACAGGAAAGGCTTGTTGCTCTCTTGTCATGGGTTTCGGCTCTTTCCGGACCGACTGATTAGGGACGGGGATGGTGGAGGTCTAAGCACCGCACTGAGTCCGGAACTTAGGAGCAGGGGCTTAGAGTCCAAGTATGGATGGGAAGGCTTGTTGCTCTCTTGTCATGGGTTTCGGCTCTTTCCGGACCGACTGATTAGGGACGGGGATGGTGGAGGTCTAAGCACCGCACTGAGTCCGGAACTTAGGAGCAGGGGCTTAGAGTCCAAGTATGGATGGGGACCTGGACCCCGTGACAGGAGAGTGGTGGGTTGGTCCTGCTTGTGCCTGGGGTACAAGCGGGGCGTGTGTTTTGGAGTACCCAGCTGAGGACACATTGATTCGCTGAATCGCTGACGTTCCGGTATGGCTTGTCTACAGTCTAGCAACGTACTAAGAACTTGAAGATGAAAGATAATAAAATAATTATAATTGCTTACCACCTGCTTGAAAGTAGCATAGGTGCTTACATAGAATGGTTAGGTAATGAATCAATGTTGACTGCTAATAAAATTGAATATAAGAATGCACTTTTAGTAATGCTCATGCAGATGCAATAAACCCACAAGCCAGATAGCCTTGCATATCCTTAGAGTATTTTTTTTTTCTCCTGTCAGGTAAGTCTTGCTAAGTATAATTGAGTACTTAGGGTTTTATTTTCCCCTGTTGCGGTGATGAGGTGGATGCTACAGCTGACCCTTGTGTGTGGATTCCTCCTGGTGGGCTCAGAAATGATTTCTTTACGCTGCGATCATAGTTTTTATTTATAACTCTCACTAAATATTTTTATAAATGAAAGTTTTATAATCTGTTGTCATAGTTTATATATCAATGCTTCGTCATGTAATGAATAGATATTTATTTTCGCTGTAATTCTGATCACATGTTTATATTCCGCTACTAACTTAAATTGTTATAACTCTGATAACATGTTCATATTTCGCTACTATAAATAATAAATATTATACTCTGATGTTACATGGAAGGTGATGTAAGAAATGGTTAAAATGTTGTAAGCTTTATTCTCTCATTTGTGATCCTGATGGAAAAATATGGATTTTCGGGTTCTCCCTTGGGGTGTGCTCGACGGAACTGCGTAATTTAGTGTCATCCCTTAAGTACTTAGTGTCTAATGAAAGACAAGTATTCCTGAGAGTCATTAGATTAGACGGTTCTGCCACACCCATCAATTATAAGCAACCTGCCTTGGTTTCAACTCAACAATCACCACGAGAGATATGATGCAAAATACTCACCTTCCTGACCCACCACTCCACCAGACAACCATTGTTCCAGTCTTGGTGCACTCCTCCAGGGTCTCGTGCTGAAGAAGCATGTCATCCCAGCTGTTCTAGATCCGGAACTCATCATCCCAGAAGAAATCTCTCACGGCCTCTGGTGACGCATCCTCAAAGATAGTGCCGCTGCGATACTGTGGTGGGCCATTCTGGAATGAAGCAAGCACACAAATAAATCAATTCAAAGTTATTTCATCTTCCATACATCACCTAATAAAGTAGTAGAGCCCATCCATATATATTTCAAGTAGATGCATCTATATAGTTCTTCTAAAAAAACTTAGCAAACTCCCAATACTGTTTAAGGCTGCAGATTTGAACCACAGGTCATACTCTTTATTATTCAGTTACGTTAAACTATCGTGTAAAATAGTCTCACTGGACGCTTGATCCTGAAGAAAGCACAAAATAAATATTTCAATGTATTGCTAATTTGTTGTCACATGAGCCAACAATTATTTTGTTGTTTTTCTTCCTCTAGGCAAAAGAAAATTTGTAATAGCGAGTAAATAGGCATGTGACTAAAAGTGATTTTACTTAGCAAGTAAATATGCCATACTTGGCTTGTTCAGATAGCCAAGTCTGGTAGGAGACAATGCTACTTACAAACACACTTGAAGAGTATAGTAGTATATGCATTCAAAACCTAATAAATAATCAAGAAACTAATCCCAAATAGAAAACAAAAAAGCAAGGAAGTAGATATACTGATGTGACTTCAAATTTTGCAATATATGTTGAGTGTGACCAAAAGGCGGAAAGCAGATCTAAATCTCAATTTTGAACACACATCTTTTTCAAACTAAATTGGGGAATCAGCAAACAATCTGGTCATTCCCCATCTTGCGGCCAACCTGCAGATCCACAGCTGCACGAAGACCCACCCATGGATTTCATTGGTGTTAACTTCAAGGCTCCTTTTCTATCTCAAAAAAATCATTCAAAGTGTCTTGTTTAAGACATCAGAAGTTTAGGTTTCTCATGTAATCAATGTATAAGTATACATCATTCAAACTAACTTAATAGCTGAAACTGAGGTCAGTATAACAGAGGGCCTTGCTACCACTGGAATGGAGTTCCTTTTCATAAATATATTAGGTTACTTAGTGAGTCAACTTTTGGGTAGGCACCCTCCTGCTGCCGCCAAGAACAGACAGCACATGCCACAGCTGCTACCTAGTCATTTATTACATAATAAGTAACTTCCAAAACTTGGCATCAATCCAGAACCCTGGTTGTATGACATGTGCACCGTCCCTACTCTCAAACACAGACAACAGACAGTGCACACCCAGTCGATACATACATATGCATAACTCTCAAGCCAACTTAACCAGTGGATGTGCCAAGAAGTAGATCACATGAGGCATCAGAAGCCTGCATTAATAAACAACATACACTAATTCAGGACAAACGATGCATCAGTCTAGATTGACTGATAAGCAAAGAGTGAAGAAAACTTTTATGTCTACCTTGCCATATCTGCTATAGCTTTTGGAAGCACCATGAGAAGCATCATTATTCATTAGCACACTGGAAAATTATAGCAATATCAATCTCAAGTTCTCAACATATGACTAATCTGCTAATCAGAAAGCTGATATGTAGTTCACCTGGTAGACAGTGCTTACCATCATAGCATCCATGGGTCCTAAATAGAAAAGGTTCAGCAGACAAACCCATAAATGAAATTGCACGAATGGATCGATTTATATGATTTTCAGTTTAATGTGCTTTGGAGTAAACATGATGCTAACAATTTACCTTTTTCAAGAACACAATCAAATGATTCATCACCAAATTAAGAAAGCCATGTCCCGAATATCCACCTGGATATCTTCCAACCTAGCTTGGGTGGGAGGCAACCTGTTCCCCCCCATACTCTTCGATCCGGGCACTCTCGGCGTCGAGCTCCTGCAGCAACCCCCCGCGCCACGTCCTCCTCCTCCTCCTCGCGCAGCCACCCACGACGCGTTCTCCGCGGCCTCCTTCTCGCCAAACAGACACACCTCTGCCTGCTCCAGCTCCTCCAACCACCGGAGCAGCTCCTCCACCGCCTGCTGCTTCATGGAGGACACCACAGATCTGGGAGAGGGAGAAACAGTGAGGGAGAGGGACATGGACAAGGAGAAGAGGAGAGGGAGGGAGGGGCTTACCTCGGCCTGGGGTTTGGCACGGTGACCAGCAGACCCCGATCGCGTCGCGCGTGCGGATCCTTCCTGCCTTGGGGCGGGCGCCACCGGAGGAGGAACGGGCAACGGTGGGGCAGAGCTGGGGCAGTCCCTAGGGCTGCGGGTTCGGCGAAGGCTCCGCATTTCGCGAAGTGCAACGCGGCAGCGAGACGACGGCGGAGCGCGACGCGGCCGATCCCCAGTAGTAGCACGGAGCAGACGGAGCCCGCCTTCTCCGATGCCGGCACCTGCCGCGCCACCGCCTCGCCGCTGCCTCTCCCTTAGCGCACGGGAGCCCGCCGTCGCCGCTTCCCCAAGCGAGAGACGTGGGAGGCGTGCGTGAAACAGAAGCAGCTGCGGTTGTGCGGGCGGGAGAGAAGGAGCGAGATAGAAGGCCGCGGGGCGTGCTGGGCGTCGTGCGCGGGCGGCGGTTCCACGGCCGCGCGACTAACAGGAGCGGGGCGGCCCAATTTTTTTACAATTTAGCTATTTTTTTAACAAAATTTATATTTAGCTCCTAGAAGAAGTAAACTCATCTTGGGACTCTGAAATCGGTGTTATGACTCATAACATTAAGGTAACACGTCTCAACATCACAGATCTTGGCTCCGAGGTCCCTAGACGAGATCTAGGTGGCGTTGCGCCGACTTTGGCGCTAAGATTTGTGGCACCAACCACGAACTCTGGCGCTGAGCATGAACGTCTGCGGCAGGGCGATGGGACCTGACGAGCATGGTGAGAGGTGGAGTGGCGTGGGTGGCAGCACGGCCGGTGGCTTTTATCGGGTCACGCATTGTTGCTGCGCGCTGAGGATGGTGCCACAGGGTACGGAGGGGTAGTCTTCTGTGCTGTCTGTCTTAAAATTTGTCATTAGGTGGCTTTCCAATGGTATTATATTCCTCAGAATCCCATTATTTATTTTCTAAACTTCTCCTTGCAAGCTCTTTCTAAACTTTCCTGATATACTTTTGGCAGTCCTGTCAAGGGGTAATTGGGCATGCCATCTCCTTCTTGTCTTCTGAGATCACTTTCCAAGGTTTCTACTTTTGAAAAATATCCAAGGCAGTTGCTTTCTTTTGTAACTTCTCCAGAAAAGTCTATTCTACGTAGAATGGGATGAGGGAAAAGCACGAGATAAAAAAGGATCTATTCCTACTAGAACGAGGCAGGGAAGGAGAGAAAGCACAAGGTGAGGACAGAGATCTAAGGGGTAGTTGTAACTAAAGCAAACAAGGTGCAAGGGTGTAGCCTCACACAACACACACAACAACGAACCAACGAGCACAAACAAGATTCGATATCTACTCTCGTGTATAACTTACCGTAGGGGTATATGGATGCCTGCCACTTTGTTTGTCTGGTTTTAATTCAAAAGCTAGCGTGGGTGGATGGATGACTGGATGAGACAGAGGCGCATGACCCAACACGTTGCGTGCCCCGTTGGAAGGATGCTATGATCACCTACAGAAAAAAGACTATACTACTATAGCCTTTTTCTTATCTCTCAAATCACTGGTGGTGGCAAGCTGCTACAGCAGAACAGGACGGAAATAAGAACAAAAAATAAATTTACAAAGAACAAAAACAATATGAACACCTATAACTTCAAATAATTATACTACCAAATTATATTACATGGTGAATCTAATGTAGTAATGTTTCATATTAATTGCCTTAAATGTTAATATTATTTATATAAATTTGATAAATTAAGAATATTTAACTAAACACTTCTTTAATTACATTCCTACTGTAAGTTATACCCCCAACAAAAAGGTTTTGACGAAAGTTGCCAGAAAAAAGGCATAACATCATATCATAATACTACCACAAAAAGGTTCTGACACAAGTGAGCGCTGCCAAAGACAACCAGGACTACCTTTCAGCTCAGCTAAGCTACACCTCATGATCCTTCGTTCACCGGCTTTAAGTTGGTTTGGTTCGTTTCGTTCTCTTTGCTTCACGTGAAAAAATCACTATTCATATCCCGTCGAGAAAAAATAATTTTCTCTCACAACAAATTTACGATCGTTATTTTTCAACAAGCCACCGAAAACAGGGCCCATGATCCTTCATTTTCATCCCATGGCACATCGGTACACTATAGACAAGCATCTGCTTGCGATATTTCGAGCCTCCCGAACAGGCTGCATATCAGGACATAAATAAAGGATGACGACCCTGCGCACGCCGCTACCATCCATGCCACCTCGCACCACTACCCCCTCCGTACCCTGGCATCGTCCCCTCAGCACGCAGCAACAATGCGTGACCCGATAAAAGCCACCGGTCGTGCTGCCACCAACGCCACTCCACCTCTCATCATGCTCGTCACGTCCCATAGCCCTGCCCAGACGTCCATGCTCGGCGCCATAGATCTTGACGCCGACCTAGGATCTCGGCCAGGGACCTCGGAGCCAAGATCTATGGCACCGAGACGTGTTACCTCGGCGCCATGAGTCCTGGCACCGACCCCAAGGTCCAAAAATGAGTTTACTTTTTTCAGGGGGCTAAATGTAAATTTTATTCAAAAAGGACTAAATTATAAAAAAAATTGGGGCGGGGCGGGGGCGGGCGTTTTTAGCGCGGGTCATGGGTCATTAGCGGCGTGATTAGTGCGGGGCGGTGATTAGTGGAGCGAAGCGATTATTGCTAATTAGACGATGACCTCTAGATCTTTTTAGTTGCAGAGATTATGCCCAACATGATTTAAACTCAAAACTTCCATATATGATGTATATTGAGTTGTATGCACTGACTAGTTTAATCCAAAAAATTAAGCTGAAAGGAAAGGTGGCAATTCACTTTAATCAGTCTCTTCGCTGGTTAGTTTCTGAGCTGATAAGCCCGGCTGGTGCTAGTTTGTTATGAGAGAAAAATATTATATCATGAGTTCATGACTGTTAAGCCTTAGCTGAAACCAACAAGCGAACAGGCTAAATAGTCGCTATTGTCCATTCTCTAGATCACCACCGTCTGTCCGTCTCGTTCGTCCCGAGGGTGTCTCTCTCTCTGTATATGGCTAGAAAAAAAATATAATATTCATCAATCCCCAAGTCCAACCATTCAGTCCACGGATAAGTCCACTACAAACCAATAAGCGATAGGATGCATAAAAACTCAGTTCAAGCTACGCAAAAACGTTTTTGTCGTGACGTTGCATAGAAAAAGTTGGATGAATGAAAATTAATTTGATACCGCATAGAAACCTCCTCGCGAGTTGGACGTTCCACCTGACATAACCTGACAGAGCTGACGCATGCATGCATGCACGCATCCAATCTAATCTCTTTTGTTTTTTCATTATAATTCCTCAACGAAGCATCCAATTCAAAAACGGCTTTCACCATTGAACTCCTGGCATTTTTGTGCACGATTCAAGATCCACTGTGAATATTTTTTTGAAAAGAATTAAAATTCATAAATTTGAAATTTGAATCATGGCACGTGATGGCCGATTAGATTCATAGAATCAATGGTCAAGATGCGTAGAAAATTTTTTACTACTTGCCATTTCTACGAGATGGACATTCCACCTGACACAACCGTGATTGCTTCCACCATTATCATGCTTCCCACTATGGGGTGTATAATTAACATGGGAACATTGCATAAAACATGGAGACCGTAAGCGTAAAACATGAAGACGATCTCATCTTCTAAAAAATTTAAAATTTTATGGCAAATGATGACCGATTGGATGCATCGAAACAATGGTCAAGATGCGCACAGAAGTTTTTGAGCACGATGTTGCATAGTAATTAGTGGTTGGATAAATAAAATTGATCTTGTTACCGCGTAAAAACATCTCCATGAGATGTAGATTCCACCTGACACAACCGTGATTACCTTCCACCAACATCATGATTCACACTATGGGGGTGTATAATTAATATAGAGAACAATGCATAGAACATGGAGACCGCAAGTATAAAACATAGAGACGATCTCGTCCTCTCTAAAATTTGAAATTTGAATCATGGCACTTGGTGGTTGATTGGATGCATAGAATCAATGGTCAAGATGCGTAGAAGAGTTTTTGGCGTCGACATTACATAGAAATTAGTGGTTGGATGAACAAAAATTAATTTTGTTACCGCGTAAAAACCTCTGCGCGAGATTGACATTCCACATGACAACCGTGATTGCTTCCACCAACATTATACTTCCCACTATTGGGGTATATAATTAACATGGGAACAATGCATAGAACATGGAGGCTGTAAGCGTAAAACATGGGGACGATCTTGTCTTCTCCATAATTTGAAATTTAAATCATAAAAAATTTAACATGAAAACAATGCGTAGAAGTGCACAGATAATTGTTCCAACAATGTATAGACTACATACAAAGTTATAGTTTAGCCATGCATAGAAACTTATACACACAAGCATAAAGAACACAAAATCAATAAACAAAATCAAAACAAGCAGCTACCATTGGGAGGTAGGGGAGGCGAGGATGTGCCACCGGGTAGGAGGGAGAGGGGGTGATGTGGAGGTCGCGCGCAAATCCACAATTTGTAGGTCGGGCCGCTGGTCGTGGAGGGGGTGGCCGCGCGCCACCGATCATGGACAGGTTCGCCGCACACTGGGAAGGAGATGGCCGCGTGCCACCGGTTGGTGGAGCGGGGATCCGATGCCGCCACAACATGGGGTATTGGGGCCGATGATTGAGCAGGGGGAGGCCATGCAGAAACATCCTTCCAACCATCCTACATCATAACAAAGGCATAGAAACATGTTTTAGCAGACGAAGAAACCTTACAGTGGCAAAGAAAGGTATAGAAACATGTTTTAGTACGCGCAAAAACCTTACAGTAGCAAGAAAGACATGTAAACATGTTTTTGGAGGCACCAAAATCTAGTATGGTCCCAACCCAAACCTTGCCTCCTGCTTGGGTGAATGTATAATTAATAGAGAAACAATGAATAGAACCCAATAAAACCCCCTGTGGGAGATTATTTTATTCAAAACCATGACAACCCCAATACAAACCATTATTCTCGCTTTGGGGACGTATAATTAATAGAGGAATAGTGCGTAGAACCCAAAATACCCTCCCTTCTAGGGGATTATTGTACCGGGATCATGACGGCCCAACCCAAACAACGCATAGAACAATGTATAGAATCAATGTTCG